TTTTTTTTTTTTTTTTTTTTGTAAGATTTTGTGGCAAGAAAAAAAAACAAAATACAGAAAAAAAAATATTTTCAAGACTAAAATAATTGATTATATTAGTTTAAGATATATAAATTAGGTATTAATTGTAGAGTTTTTTTTTTAAATTAAAAAGGACACTAAACTATTTTCTCTTATATTTATTTTATATTTGAACCTACTTATTATTTAAAATTAGAAGGGTCGTATATTCAACATAAAATAATATAATACCCTTTCGAAATATTTTCAAATTATTTAATAAATAATTCTTATGACCTTTCTTACGATGGAAAGAGACAAAGGTCCATGTATAATTTTTAAAATATTGTAATTAATTTTTTAATTATTATTTATCACAATTTTTTTAAAATTATTTTTTTTTAGTTATTGAAAACGTATATAGAAACATGAAAATTTGTAGGTTGAAGTAATATTGAATTAAAAATTAAATGATTATCAAACGGGCATTAGTTTCTAAATCTTCAGTGTCTAATAAGTATCTAGAGTCAAAAGTTTCGGTCAAATTCAATATTTTTTAAATTAAAAAATAAAAATTGTAATTTAATGTGTGAGAAAGATGGCTTATTATGATGTTGAGTTACAGTTTTCTTTGTAATTTGGAGCAACGTCACACACTACCGTTAAGTAACCGTTAAATGCAAACATTTCTTTCAATTATTTGGGACCCAAAATGGACGTATTGAATCACATCATTGATAATGAAATAAAGTTTACATTTTTATCAACATTTTAAAAATTAAGAAAGAGACTAAATATCAGATGAGAAGGGATGGATACATGGAAGCTAAATTATTGCAAAAAATAATTCCAAATTTTAATTTTTGTTTAAAAAATATTTATATTTTTAAAAGTTTTCCATCAAATTAAAGTTCAAAAATTTTAATTTTCAGTGAAATATTGTTCTTTTAAATTTAATTTAGATAAGCTTTTGTCATATCACATTTTGTCCAACATTTTAATAGATTTATATTATAAAGAAAACTTTGAAATGTTTATGCGAGGTGAAGATCATCTTTCAAAGCAAAAGATTTAAATAGAATAATTCAAACCATTGTGATTCTTCATGTTTTTCAATAATGTTGATCATCCAAATAAGATTAAACAAAAATGAATGTGTAACGAGATACATAATCGAGTAGTACTATACTTTTCTTTTAACTCAACAATTACAAAAGTGAAAGATCGAACTATCAATCTTTAGAACGATAATTGGTATCTTATCAATTAAATTTATGGTCGTTAGCCGTACTAGAAAATGTTTTCGGAGACCAATTGACACACCACACATGCAGAACCTATCAATGAGCTCAATAATAATACAGTCCATACTTTTTTATCCCAAAGAAATAAGAACATCTGACAGTGAACTAAGGTGCAGGATGGTCTGTATTATCTTAGCCATTGCCATTCAGAAACCCAAATAAGAATAGAAAATAAAATTGGCAAGGTAAAGGGATCTGAATCTATCATCTTGATCTGACATTAAAATAATTAAAATAAATAACTATGCAGAGGAATCTATAAGAGTTTGAATACAGCTATTTACACTTCATACAGAAATAATGTGTCTAATGCCCTATAAGACATGTATTATGATTGTACAAAACCTCAATTCATGGCATGCTTTCACATTTTCAGGACCAACTTAGGAAACTTGACTCTTTTCTATGAGAAAAACTATAGTAAAAGAAACAACCAAAACAAACAGGGACACTCGACTCGGTTCATGCAGTTTCGTAGAACAGCCACTTTTAACTATATTGGATATGGGAATCTAAATATCGTTCAACTAGTTAAGGCTTGTGTACCACGAAAAGGTCAGTGGTAATGGAAACTCTCATATATTAATAAACGCATACAACAAAAGGCATTCCGTTTACCTTTCACCTTTTAATTTCCCTTCTCTATTTTCTCATATATGATTGTTAATTCTACGGTTCAAGATTTTAACGTGCACAATATACATACAAGATGGATGGAATTTCCAAATGGGTAAATAAGTTAAATAGACATTGAGATAAAAAATATATATATATGTGACATACAGAGATGGCTGAACAGCATTGAGCTCTCGTAAATGCATGTAGAAGGAAGATCATGATCGAGGAGCTGCCATTTGCTGCTTCTTGATTCGTTCTCCTTGTTTTACCACGCTGTAGTTAAAATGCCAAAGGTAAAGTATCTCAATACTTCCAAGTGAGTGAAAAACGTGGGAGTATGCAGTAAAAACATCATATGAGTAACTATATAAAGTGAAACTCAAAGGTCTTAACATCTCAGTAATTACCCGATATCATGAGGTGTGATAAATATCCATTGGGAACCTTGTGACAATGCAAAATCCACAAGAGTGTCTAAGCTAATTTTCCGACTTACTGCATCCTGAAAGCGTATTTCGCGAACTTGTGAAAAGACTATTAGCAACATTCTTTGTGGCTATGGATATCAGGAAAAGAGTGACAAGAATGAGACAGTAGCTCACCATAAACACATCAAACTCATCCATTGCTCGAAATGGGGCTTCTGTCATTTCGTGTAATGCCAAAGTGAAGCATAGAGTGGAAAATGACCGTTCTCCACCTAATATCATTCGATTCCGTTATTTCAAAACTATAATCCTTCAGTGCATGAACTATATATAATACATAGATCAATAGACATTTCATAAAATATTCCACACACTAAACACAGTTCAGGGAGGGAAATAAAAACATCAAGGGCTAATCTTGCAACAGCTCAAGCCCACCGCTAGCCTCCCCTCAAGATTTTTAAAACGTGTCAGCTAGGGGGAGGTTTCCACACAGTTAAAAAAATGTTTCGTTCTCCTCCCCAACCGATGTGGAATATCACAATCCACCCCCCTTCGGAGTCCAGCGTCCTCGCTGGCACTCCGCCTCGTGTCCACAAATTCATAGCAAGTATCAAAAATTTGTGTGTTAATGAACTGAAAATCAGTAGGCAAAACATTTAGTAGCTATAAGCTAAGACGTTGCAGATAGAAAAACCAAACAAAATGGAAACTCATGCAGTCAATTTAAGCAGAAGAAACCTGAAAGTCCACGGGTATCACGAACAGAACTGCTGGATGCATCTTGGGGCATCTTCACCTGTTGAATGTTGAAGAAGTGCATAATATTCAATAACATAAATCAAAAAGAGAGGTTTTTTCTCATTACATGAAATCCATTAAGTGGGCTTACCTCAACCGAGAGGGTCTTTTCCTCGTAATTGATTTTTATATGTCCACTGATCCCTTTTTTTCTTAAATGGCCATTAAATCTGAACAAATTTAACATACTTTAATATCACCAATTTTAGAGAAAACAGACTGAAAAAACAAAATCTCTGAATGCGAAAGAAATTCATACTGCCAAGTCAATTGACGCTTCAAAAGATTAGCATTCCTTTCAAACTTGTTCCACCGTAGCTCAAGAGCTTTCTGGCAAGCCTGTGATTTAATTCGAGAGTAGGTTAATAATATGAATGCTTCCATGAAGACTATGGAATGCATCAATATAAGAATGTGGCTTCATCCTGTCTTAAACAGGAAATAAAATACTAAAATTACGAAACGTCTATTTATATATATATATATATACACATGCACAGAAATAAGATGTCAATGAATAAACTATAACATTCACATATAGAAAATCTATGAAGAGTCGTAGGAGAGGAAAACTCACATTCAACTTCTCTCTAAAACTTTTGTAAGTCTGTTGTTTTCTTATAATTGTACGCTCCTTTTTCTCATACATCATCCTCAAGTCTTCCAGAGATTCAGAACATCTGGCAGGAACTAAAAGGTTAGTATACTTCAATCATAATTGAGGCTTGGCAGTTTAAGGAATTAAAGAAATGAGTTAGAGACAAAACTGTCGGGTCTCGTTACTAAGTCTCTGATTTAGCCTGTTTAATTGTGCACTGAGTTGTTCAGGTGTGCTCCCATCCCAATCACCTAAAGCCTCAATTTCACTCTCAGGAGATATTATTGAAGCCTTACTGTAACTCTCCTGCAATTGAGATGTCATGTCATTGGCACGTAAGAAAGTTGCAGACTGCATATATACTTCTAAACAATCAAAATTACCTTACGATGGCGCTCGAGCTCCTCATATTGTCTCTCTGCCTCTTTGATATCAAACAGGACCTTGTTAGTCATAATACCTTCATAATGATTCATCTCCTGTGACATTTATACCCTTTAACATTACTAAACTAGTAAGATGCAAGAAAAAATTTCAATGAATTATTCGTAGAGGCAGGAATAAAGACCTTTTCGGCAGAATGCAGATCTCGTTCAATCTGCAACATATCTCTCTCGGCTTCTTCATATGCATCAACTTCTCCTTTCGCTGACTCTATTCATTTATTTTTTCGGGTGTGGAGAGAAGGGGAGCGATCACTTATGAGAAAGAAAAAGAGAGAGAGAGAGAGAGAGAGAGATGAAAGGAACTAATATAGAATCTGAGTGCAAAAATCACTGCTGCGTACCACACAGATTCTCAAATGATAGTTTAAGATCTTTTGCCTTGGCTTCCGCATCCTTCATTCTCACTCTGAACTTTTCCAGAAGCGATTTATTCTCTTCCATCTCCTCTTTGATTTTCTGGTAATCATTCCCAAGAAAATGATATTAAAAGAATTATGCAATAAAGAAGATTGAGTAACTACAATTCCACATTCTTAGACCTATGTGTGACTGAACGTGACTGAACTTATTCGTATACATATTACATAAAATACAAATATCACAAGTATATCTTACAGAAATTTCTTGATGAAGCTCGTCAACGTTTGATGAAGGTAATGAACTAGTTCCAGCAACCTGTGACTTCCGTAAATCTTGTAGCTCCAAATTTTTGGACATTAAAATGCGTTCCGCATTTTGACATCTCCGCTTTATATACAATAGTAATAACAAAGAATCAGATGATGACATAATAAAATCAAATGTAACACTTGCAAAGATTTACAAGACTTCCAAGTAATGAAAAGTTGTCAAATGGCTGGAAAATTGTTCTCCCACGTCCACTTGAGTTGGGCGTGAAAAGAGCCCTCACTTCCTTCACAGTTCAAAGTTAGATCTCCTAAAATACACCACCCTTTATTAATGCACGGAAGGGATTTATTAATCATTTACTGTCAATCTTCCCCGATAACCTTAATAATCGAACTCTAATCATTGTGAAAGCAATGTCAGGAGACCACTATTAATCATTTTTATGTTCACTAGTTAATTGTTATAAAGGATTGACTAAAAAAGATCTCCACAACAATTTTCCTCTAAAAGCTCCGTTTCTTCTGCCAAGGTTACCAAAACCAAAGCATCTTTCACACATGGGATAAGATACCACCTCTCAACAAATGAAGTTCACACCTGCACTCTCATTTGACACCAAAGAAAATACTCCCATCATCTTCTCGACGTAACGACCTACTCTGGAATTTTTAGTTATCTTCTTGTCTACCATAGGAAGGTTCGTTATGATTTAGTTAGCTTTACATCTTATTTTTATTGATAAGTCTGCCAAAGGTATCCTTCATCGGCTACATTCTTTCCTTTAATTGGGAATTTCAATACAGATTCTAGACACGCAAAATCAAGTGACAATAGACGTAATCCATTCCGTAGAAAGTGATTAAACTTCGGCTACTCTATCTCAAAAACAAATCACATTGAGCTTCCCACCTAACCAAACAGGATAAACTAGGGCCAAAGTGTACAAAACAATGATTATACAAATAAATGTGTAATTGGTAGAGTAGAATACCTTGGCATTGCATAGGTTCTCTTCAAGACCCCGAAGTTGTTCTTCTGCAGCTCTCTTCCTCTTCCTACATTGCTCAGCTTCTTCCTTCATGTTTGATGTATCTTTTTCAAGACTTTTAATCTGGTCATCAAAAGAACTACAAAGTCTGCCACTTCTAGGTCTTTTAACTGGGGGAAGAATTGTCTGAACAGAACCACGAGAAAACCTATGAAGAAATAATGATACATCTTTGTGATCATTAATTAGAACATGACAAATAAAAATACATTTAACAATAGTAACTTTTAACATAGATTCATGTAGTCTGCAGAAATGTCTATCCATGTGTTCACAAAGTCAAAACTTAACCAAGAACTAGAGTTCCTTGAGGCCCAACTCACTTTCTTGTTCCTAACTAACATTCAGGAAATGGTAGGACAGTTCTTCGTCCTGATTTCATCTACTAACATTAGATGGATATACCCAAATCAATTAGTTTATGGAACTCTGTATTAGGATGTAATATATTCGCTTACATTTTATATCCATCTAACGTAAAGACCTCCTTGAGATTTTTGATCCGTTGGTCAAACGTGACTGATTTACCCACATCATAATCTTTAACAAGCACTTGCCTCTCAGCATCACCCTATGAAGCAAGAATCATGGTCATAGAAGAGAACAACACGTCATTTATCAATTATCAACATCCTGAGTGAGTGGGGGTAAGAGGGCGCAAATAGGAGCAAGAAACAAAGGCTATGTAGGATAAGAAAATAAATAAGCAAAAATATATTGAAACAAGAGATTTACCTTATCTATCAAAACATTGATGACAGTATGGTTTTCAGAATGAATCACTGAAAGGGTTGTAGGGTGCTTTGTTTGAGGAAGCATGTGAGCTGGAATATCTAACCTACCAGGAGAAGTGAGAGCACACGAAAAGATAAACTTTATGTTCAAACCAAAGATCATTAGAGAGCAGTGAAGGAAAAGAATCTCATACACCTACAGTGGTCTTGAAAAGTCATAGATGATAATTGGGAGTTGCCTATAATTGGCTTCATTAGCACATCCTCTCAAAAGAAGAGAATCTTGATGATTGGTCACGATGAATGCATTGAGCAACCTCCCAATGGCATTTTCAACAGCAGGAGCCCACACGTCACCATTGACCAAATTCTACAGAAAATAACTATTCCATCAATATACAGAATTAGACTGCAGCCAATGGAAAGAACAACCTCGTGGACACAAAGAATCTTGGTAACAAACCAATTCTGAACCACATTGATTACCAAAGAAGGCAATCCAAGTAACCATGATTATAAGAAATATACATTAATTTGTGTCATTAGTAGAAACCCCAACTCTTTCAAACAAGAAAACACTTGCAATAAAATCACAAAGTTCTCAACGGATCCCTGGCTTCATTAATCAATAACCCCATCTCTTTGTATTGCATCTCCTTAGAAACAGTCGTATGGATCGCTGAACCAGAAATACTCCCTGCATGTCAACTAGTTGAACATTTCCTACAAACTTTTCTTTCTTTAATAATAAATTCGCAGGGCGATGGTGCACAAAAAATAGGTTAACAAGAATTTAATTTCTGATACTAACCAGATGGGCACCAATTGGACCAATGGGAGGTTTCTTGAATCTTCGATTTTGCCTCTCAATCACACGTAATAATTGAATGACTCTATCACCTCCAAAAGCTGTAACCTGTCCAAATCAAGTTATGCCGTTACCATCCTCAGAGGCAATAGGTAAAGGTAGGAGAATATCTGCTGTTTAAAGATGCCAGTATTAAGCTACATAAGCAAATACAAATATGAACATGCATAAAACATCCCTAGCTTGAAAGATATCAAGAATCGTAACCTAATTCCTTTTCATACCTTGTTTGTTTGATGCTGCCTTAGCTCTCGAATAGAGCGTGAAAATTCATTATGCTTTTTTTCATAACCTTCAATCTGTAAAACCACCATCATTTAGAATATACAGTAAACAAATGTAGAAAATATGGTGCAACATAACTTAATGATGATATGTTATCACAAAGAAAGTAACAGCAGAACAATGAAATATCCATCACTATCGAGCATTTTAAGAGTGAGAGTTAAACCCAAAAACAACACGGCAAGATAACAGCACATATACTTTCTTGGAAACAAGATGCTTAAGTCAGTAACAAAGAGTATTAAAACCAAAGAGAGTATAACAATAATGCTGTTTGAGCAAAACGAAACAAGAGGTCTAGAAAGATGTGCTTCCTCCATCATCCAGAACATCTTTCTGGACCAACCCTTGGACTGAAAACATCACACAAGCCTTGCAGTATTCACTTTTGTATAGACTCTCTCATAGCAAAATGGCCACGATCAAAGAAACATGAAATGATGTCAATAATTTCTAGAACCTAAGGCTCGGTAGGAACCTAAAGAATAACGAAGCTACGAAATGGGCCGACTTAAGCCTTATCTTCGCTCCAGTTGTATTGTCTAAAGAAGAAAACTCATTGACATAGCTTTCTAAAGCTGAAAAAGTTTTCTCTACAAAAAATTTTATGATGGACATCGGGGGAAAAAGTAAAAGCAATAAACCTCATGCTACCAAAGACAATATGGAAAGGGAATCGCCCTAAAAATGTGAAGTTTTTCTTCTAGGAAATAGCGCATAAAGCCATAAGCACAAGTGAAAGTCTAGAAAAAAGAATGCCCTACATGACTCTCTTTCAAGTTGTTGCCCATTACGCAAGAAAGATAATGAATCACAAAGCAGCTTACTTATGCAATGCACATACGCTCAAAATTTCTGGATAAGGACATCTTCTTTTTTCCAAGGAGGTAAAGGATTTATTGGACGTGGCCCTAACATACCACTCCTTTAGCAATGTAAAAACTCTGCTATGGAAAAATCCCAGTATAGTTTTCTTTTGGAATTTGTGGAAGGAAAGAAATCAAAGATTATTCATGGAGAAGATGCAAACTTATATAGAACTCTTCGACAATGCTATTTATCACACTATATCTTAGTGTAAATAGAATAATACTTTTGCTTCATATAGTCTACTTCCCTCGTTGTAAATTGGGAAGGTTTTTTGTTAACATCATGGATTAAGAGAGTATGAGCAGATTAGATAACGGTTGCTAATATTACTGATGGCTACTACATAAAATTTTCAACAAAGTGAGTATACTGTCATAATTGGTTATGGACATTGTAAAACACCAATTTTCCATCCCACAGTTCAGTAGTGGGAAAAAATTGAAATATTTCGGAAAGTTGGAGGCAAGTTGATCGCAGACACCGGATAAAGTCTCCCTATTTTCAACTAGACACCCAACATCTAGGAAACACTAACATCATTGGTTGCACTATGGAAAAAATTTCTAATAAATAGTTTTTGTTTGACCGATCACCATTTGTGAGTAAATAAGTTGTTCAAATTTAGAAATTAATTAAAATTTGTAAAAGAACAAGCACATTTTCATGTTTGCAATCACAAAGGTGACGATGATCTCTCATTACGTGAAGAGTCATGCACTGTCAATCACAAGTATCATGGGACAAGAACAAGATAACCAAAGAGAGGACTCTTACGCCTTCCATGACACACATACACACACACACAAAAAAAAAACAAAGAAGAAGTTTGCCACACAATATCCAGTGTATTTCCGTGCAAGGATTCTTGTTTTACCTCTTCAGCAATCTTTTTTATTTCACTTCTCCCACTGTTTAGACTATCCAGTAAGCCATTTTCCTCCTCCTTTAACCTGTAACTTGATTCAATACGATGGACTACAATTCTTTTTTTAAAAACGGACCTACGAAGCAAATAAGTAAATAACCTCATGACTGTTGACTTAGCAGCTTCAGTCTCCAATTCGAGTTCCTTCAACTTTTCCTCAATTTCAGATTCTTCAGCCTACAGGTAGTTAATAAATCATCGGAGGTTGATATTGCAGAGGAGGGCAGTGAAAATTACATGAGAAAATATAGGTTATCTACATTATAAAAAGATCGAAAGACATAATGCAATCGAAAAGATTATTTGTCACGAACAGTATAGATAGAACCTTGACCGTATCAAACAATTTTTAAGAAACTGCAGAGAAGACGTCTCATTGCCAAGTGAACAATGACATGGATTTATGGATCCTTGTTTTAAATATATGAGATCGGCAACAGCTTGAAGATCAATGGTAGAAGCATAATTTTGGAAGGCAATAAGTGCAACTACCAATATAAACTGATCGTATGTATATAAATACACCGACTTGCATAGTGGCTAAGGTAGAAGAATATATTCAGAAGGGAAATACATGCGCAACCCAACTACTAATTGTTGATGAGACATGCACAAATAAATAAATCAATACGCCATAAATAGAATCGAGTCACTCTCGTCCTGACTCTCTCTCCTTTCAGTAAGGACATACAAATCCAAGAGAAAGGGATACCTGTGTATTTCTTATGTGCTGCTCATGAACATCGTGAACTTGTTGCTCAAGCAGCCTAACACGTTTCGCCATCTTTTGAATGTAGTTCATTTTGCGGCCATGCTCCTCTTCAAGCCCGAGCTTCTCTCTTGTTGCCTAGAAATTTTGTTTGCATTGGATTATTTATCAGAAAACATGAAGGATGGGACTACACTGACCAGAAATTCTCATAAGGTATATGCATTAAAAATTTAAAATAAAAGATAATAAAACTAATAGTTACTAAACAGCAGAGCAAATAGTGACTGATATTTTAAAAATTAAAAAAGAAAAAAAATATACGAACAGATATTACACTATTGTTCATATGTTCAATATCATAGGCTTCAAAATTGTAGATTCTGTGAGATGTATTTTGAGAAATAAAATATGGTTTAAGAGGGATCCTACCACGAATATATTCAAGGGCACTAAAACAAGCTTTGTCCACAAATTAAAAGACAGTGGAAATACCAGGAGAAGAATGCAACGTTCTTTTAGAGGAAGCACGTATTTCATTGATATATGAAATATTAATAAAGGAGAAGAAGACCCGAGAGATAAAATACAACTTTGTAGTGGTTAAAAAGAAATCGAAGTTTCAGCTAACTACTTTTACGAACTCCCTTACCAAGGAAAGGGTTTCTTGCAATTCGTCCTTCAGTCTTCTAACTTCCGAAGTTTTCTCCATCATGCTTGCAATTTGAGCCTTCTTCTCGATAAAGCGTTCTCTTAATTTTTCTGCCAGACCCTATTGCACCATTCAGAAGTTGAATACATTACATAAGATTAAGTACCAAGTGCCCCTGATATGAACTAAAACAAATAGATCAAGTCCAATGGATACTCCACAGCTCCAAAAGGCAGAGATAACATAGGGAGACATTATATTAGAAAACATTCCAACATTAAGTTCAACATGAGTGTGTGGCAAGAGAGATGGTTAGCATAACCAACATAGTAAATTACTAACCTGTTGATGATCAATTTTTGCTCGACAAATAGGGATGCGATCTTTGAGCTTTCCTATTTTTACACTTTGGTCCAGAAGCTGCTTGTCTACATCATATACCCATGACCACGCAAGCTTCTTCTTTAACTGTTGGACTTGTTGATAGATTTCTTCTACGTGCTCCATGTTTTTAATTTTTCCTTGCAGCTCATTTAGCTCCTTCTCCACAGGTCGTATGGTAGACTCCAAGTCATCAACAAGTGCATTCGCAGATCTCAGTTGATGAAAAATGTTTTTCAACAGATCATCAACTTGCTGGAGAAGAGTAGCTTTGAAGAAGAACTGACCAATAGAGTGTCGTTAGAGTAACCATAACATCACCAGAATGTGAAGAAAACAGCTTTCATTACCTTGAATTTGTCTTTGTCATTCCCAGAATGCAGGAACTCTCTACTTTTGTCCTGACTCATTATCACACACGGGTTCTCAACATCTATCTGCATAAGATAAAGTATTTTATCTTTTACTGTTGGAGATTGAAAATGCATAACATTTTATATCTCCTATAAGTTATAGGAAACATGGATGTACCATCTATATGACATAAATTGGTAAGTAAAAAGAGTCCCTTAACATTCACATACCATGCCCTCGTTACTCAATCTCAAAAAGTACTAACGAACCTAATATGACCCAAATATAAAAACCCAATAATAGAAAAGCGATCAGATTACATTATACAAGGCAACAACTCACATTAAAATGGTCTACAAGCTCTCGTAGTTCATCCCTCCGACTGGAAACCTTCTTTCCTGTAAGATACCATAAGAAAAAAATACATAAATAATGGTTGTCAACCCCATAAAATTATGAAATGATAGGACTGCACTTTGCAGTACAACCTACTCTGAAATATGATTCACAAGAACATTATGGAAAAATGCAGTATCAAATTACTGGATAATTAAGACAGTATATGAGAAGACCGGTGCAAAAGTAAAACAGAATCATACAAGTGTATTGACAATATAAACTAAAAATCATCAGCCAGAACTCAGGTGTGAGACCTGTAACAAAAATGGTTCCCTTCGATTCAACCACCTCTCCCTCACTCTATTTATTACGAGTTATGCTTACTTCATGCATGGGCAAATTGATATGAGAAATTATCTTTGGCCTTTAATTTTTTAAAATAAATAAGTATATACATATGTCAGTTTACTACTGAATATATATGTCAGTAGGCATGAACCATGAGGTAAGTATTACTCATTTATGGACCTTCTTACTAACAAACACCCAAATATGAAAAATATACCTTAAATAATAAGCCTGTCACAATTTTTTACCATCTTTTTGACAAAAATGTATCTGCTTTTTAAATAAATGGATCAACATATTCCATATTTCCAAAACTATTGAATGATTGATGAGTAGAACTTGCAGGCAAGAGGCTGAACTTACTAGATGAAACAAAATATGTATAGAAGGTGAAATTTTAAAACAAAAATGTTCCTAACCTTGAGAATCTTTCAAAACAATGGCACCTGAGGCTTCGGAAATCCTTCTCTCTATGATTATAACATTACCATATATTCCAGGCTTAAAAGCATCCTCCCCAGAATTTTCCATTTCAACTTGGATGACAGCATGACTGTTAAGATCCAATACTGTATATGAATTAGAAACTCAAAAAGGATATTAAAAACATGTAATACGACTTCTTAGAACTTCTAGGTAAATGCAGTGGAATTAAAGCCTAATTCAAATTACAGGTTCAAAAATATTTGTAATACCTAACCAGCGAAAATACCACATACTCCGCAATATTAGCAGAAATTCCATATCATATCATTAGTAGTGCGTAGTTTCAATAAGATGCAGCTTAACAAATACCCAGCTATAGCACAGGGGAAGAGGGCAAAGTGACATTAAGAATTGAATCCAAATCATAAGGTGACCATCCATCTATGATATCAAATCTTAGAGTATCTATCAACTAAATGTTAGGATATGACAGTTATCCCATGAGATTGGTCAAAGGACGCAAATGCTGACCCGAAACACACGCACATAAAAGACCTGAATAACTCAAGACAAAAACATCTGGCAGATGCATTAGCCAAACGATAGAGAGCAACACAAGTGAACAAACCTGCAACCAGTTTTAATAAAATCCTTCAACGTCGACGCCCTTTGGGTGCCTCTAGCTCGACAGCCGAATGCAACACATAAAGCAGTCAGTATAGCACTCTTACCACCTGCAAATATCAAACTTCTAGTGTAAATTGCAACGACATTAGAAAATTTAACACTGCAGCAATGGACAATCCAAATTATAAGTCTTTTTTCTTTCTCCAGCAGAACTCCTACTACGGATTCTTTCTAGCCACCTTCTTCGCGTCAAACAAATTCCTTCAAGCACAAATGCGTGTAGAAACAGATAAAACCCAAAAAAAAAAAAAGGCGTCTAATCCACTTACTTCCGTTCTGCCCTGTAATGAAATTGAGCCACTCGCCAAACTCAATATACAAGTTGCTGTGACACATGAAGTTCTCCAAGCGTATACTTTTGACTATTCCTGCTCCGCGGCGAGGAGGAAGATCCCTGGAATCAGCCATTTTGAAGCTTTTTAGGGGTTCTGCGGATCCTTGAGGAGAGGAAAGGGGAAAGATCGGTACTGGTGAAGAAGAATGAAGATTTTTGGAGCGAGAAGAAGGGAAAATATGCGGAATCTTAGTCTGTAACTGGACGAGAATGAAGTTTCTGTGGCGGGAAGGTCTTTGTATTTCCCTCTTCTGTTCTTCCACGGGAGTGCGATTGCTTGTGGCGCGCTTACTCGTTGAAAACAAAAAGAAAAAAAAAACATTAATTAATTGAAACATTATAATTAAATATATATATATGTTTTTTTTTTTTCTTGGTGTGGTTTAAAACTTGTCGAATTAAATTTTAAATTAAGGTTTTTTTTTAAATTATAATATTTAAAAATAAATAATTACCGGCTATAGTTTTTATAGACTCGTAAATACCATCTGACAAATGGTCATAAGACTGACCTGATGTTTAAGGCTAAAACATGACATCCAAGACCTTATTAATTCAGGGAAAATGGAGCCACCAAGGACAAACCGTCCCAATGTAACTACCAACTATCTACCCACTCATGTTGTACCTCCTCTTGCCAATATAAACATGATCGAGCCGACATTGTCGAGTTGGGATCCTGTACTGGAAGCACTAATTTTCTACATGGTTTAGCTCAGATAAAATCTCTTGTTGTCCGAGATATATTTGGCTAGCTTTTCTATAATTTTAACTTTAAAACCTGGTTTGCACGTATTCATCGTAACGAAACATCCTTCAATTCACGAGCATACAGAGGCAAAATGAGAGTTAAAAAGTTATAGAATAATAACAAACACTTAAAAATATACATTTTTAACACAAGAAAACCATACGAGAGGAGGATTGTCCTCCTCGCTGACCCTAAAGAAGGTGGCTCGGTAACAAAGCAAGTCAGCTGAAACGACACCAAATGCCTAAACAGGACAGAGACCTACTTTCTTTCTACTTAACACAAACTTTTCGATCTTCCCTCTAGCACATAGGGATCGTCTTACGCATCGAGACGAAGCGTATCGGTCCCTTTAACTTGTTGTACTAGAGTGGCTCATCGTAAAAAGAAGAACGATGGATTATAGCATTTCCTATAATTATATGGTTGAGCTAAAGAAATAGGTGAGCTTTTTCACTATACAATGACCATAACGAAGGACCAACGACCATGAAGGAGGACAAGGAGCACTTAACCTATACCAATCCCCACCAATTGAAAAAGAAAAAGAAACGATATTAACACTCGGCTACTATCTTGTGGTCTAAGAGAACATCAGCTTCAACAGTGACAAGATTCCCAGGAAATTTTCTCTTGGGTTTTGCTTGTTGTAGCATCAAAACGACGTCACGCATCGACGGTCGGTCTGCAGGGTTACGGCTCGTACAAAGCAATGAAATACGAAGCATTTGTATCATTTCTTCTCTAACAGACGCACAAGACGCACTGACATCGTTGTCCAAAACTTGATTCACTCCATCTTTCACCTTAATTTTGGATCTTACCCAATCCACAATGCTGTTCCCCTCGCCAAATTCAGAATCCACCGACCTCTTCCCGCTCACGATCTCCATCAACACAACTCCAAAGCTATAAATATCACTTTTTTCATCCACTTGAAGCGTGTAGCCATATTCTGCAAAGATGGAAAACAAGCTTCAAACATAATCCTCTTGGGATTGGTTTAATAAAACACGAAAAATTGAAACGCCCATTTGATCGAGATCGAGTAGCTACAATTGATCCATTTAGAGACTGAAAGGTCGTTTCATGTACACCTAATATATATATATATATATATATATATATATATATATATATATATATTTTTGGTTAATTTTAAGAATAAACTATATGTTTTTTTAATTTAATTTAATATAGTAGGAAAAAAAATTGTACAAACCTGGTGCAATGTAGCCGTAGGATCCAGCGATCACCGACATTGACTCATCGGTCTGGATCAACTTAGCGACGCCAAAATCCGCCACTCTGGCCTCCATCTCACCGTCCAATAAAATATTACTGGGCTTCAAATCGCGGTGCACGATGACTGGATCACAGTCATGGTGAAGATAACAAATCCCCTGTGCCACACCCAGTGCAATTTTATACCTAGTTATCCAATCGGCCACCAAATTTTCACCCTTGTTTTTACCGTGCAGTAAATCGTCCAAATTACCATTTGGCATATACTCGTAGAGCAGCATCGTACACTCCTTGTTGCTGCAGCACCCTAACAATCTCACTATGTTCCTGTGCCTCACGTTCCCCAGTACCTCCACTTCCGCCAAAACCCCTCTCCGCCGTCGGATGTTCTCTTTATATTTACCCCACAATTTCTTCACCGCTATGATTTCGCCACCTGGCATCTCCGCTTTATATACCGTCCCAGTGGACCCCATTCCCAGGATCTTATCCGTCATTGACATACACTCTAACACGTCCTCCGCCGTGAAGTTCAACCGTTGAAAGGCGGTTAGTTTCCACGGTCCCGTTTCCTCGTCGCCACCGCCGAATCGACGGCTGTAATGCGTCTGAAAACACCTCGTCCCGGCTACTAATACGAACAGTCCGATACCAAACGCCGCTGCCATTATCCACACGATTGCTCCCGTCGTCCGCCGTGGCTGCTGCTGTCGGACCTCTATCCCGCCATCGGAGAGAGCGTCGACGGCGCAGGGTTTCGCTAGAATCTCGCCGCAGAGACCGTCGTTGCCGATGAATGAAGAAGAGTGTAATCCCGGGAAGATTGTTCCGGTCGATGGAATGGGGCCGGTGAGCTGGTTGTACGATACGTCGAAGCTTTCGATTGTGCTACAGTTTTGAAAATTTGAAGGGATTGTACCTGTGAGGAAGTTTCGTGACAGATCAATGGCGGTAATCGACGGCAGCGTGGAAATCTCCCATGGAATAATGCCGGTTAACGAATTCCGGCTTAAATTCAGCGTGAGTAGCTTCTCGCAATGGCCGAACGTCCATGGAATACTACCGTTTAAATTATTGTCCTGGAGTTCGATCTCGTAGATAGATCTACACCCGACGAAATCGGGGATGCTACCGATGATTCTCGAAGAACTCGCCGAGAAGATCTGTAAGCTAGTCGAGTTCCAGATATTCTCCGGTAAGGAAGTTCCGAAGGCGTTCTGTGAAATGTTCAAGTACTGTAACTTCACCGCATTACCAAAATCCGCCGGAATCTCGCCGGAGAAGTTATTGTTACTGAAATCGGCGAATGTCAGATTCTCCAACATGCCGAAACCGTGGGGAATCGAGCCGTTAAGGAAGTTGTTTTGGATTCGAAGACGAACGAGAGACGTGCAGTTCGTTAAAGAGGCGGGAAGTTCGTGCCCTAATTTGTTGGAAAACAGAATGAGCTTATACAGCTTGTTTCCATGGCAGAGATTTGGAGGAATCGGACCGGAGAGTTGATTCGACGACACGTCGACTTGCAGTAACTTCTCGTTCGAGCCGAGATTCTGAGGCAGTGGACCTGTGAGCAAATTGTTCCATAATCGCAAACTGGCGAGATTTGGAAGATCGCCAAGTGCTTGTGGAATTTCCCCACTCAGATCGTTCGCCATCAAACTCAGCTCTCTTAATTCCTTCAGATTATACAAATCCGACGGAATCGTTCCGGTGAGTTGATTCTCCGACAAATCAAGCTCCTCGAGCGCTTCTAATTTCCCTAAACTTTCAGGAATTTCGCCGGTGATTCGATTCTTGAAGAGAAGCAGATTTTGCAGCTTCGTCATGTTTCCAATGTCCTGCGGCAGAGTCCCGGCGAGATTCGCTCCGGCAATATCCAAGTATTTCAGATTCAACAACAATGGAAATTCCGCCGGAATCCCACCGGAGAAGGTATTGTAACCGATTTCCATTCTCTCGAGTTTGGTTAAATACGCTAGTTGCCCTGGAATTTGACCATCAAGAGCATTTCCAGCCAAATGCAAATACTTCAACCGTGACAAACCGCCATAACTCGCCGGAATACTGCCATTAAAGTAGCTTCCACCGAGGTTGAGCCATTCAAGGAACCGGAGATGTGCGAATTCTGGCGGTAACGGACCAGTGAAGTTGTTACTGTAGGCATCGAAAACATTCAAGAACTTAAGCTTGGAAATCCCAGGTGGGAAAGTGGAGGTGAAGATATTATGACTAATATCAAGAGTCGTAAGCTGAGATAGCTCAAAAATGGCGGTGGGGAACGGCCCAAGAAAGCTATTACCACTCAAATTCAAATAAACTAAGCTCGTTAAGTACTTAATTTCAGAGGGAATAAACCCAGTGAGATTCCGACGAGACAAATCCAAGGAGGTAATTTCCGGCGAGTTCTGATCACATCGAACTCCCGACCAAGAACACCAAATCGGGTCATGAAAATCAGCTTTGGAGAAGGTGGGTTTAGGGTCCCAATCAAGAAAGCTCGAAGAGGAGTCTTTAATGGAGGATTTGATAGAAAGCAGAGAGAGAAGTTGAAGGGGCAAAACAGTTGGAGTTGAAGAAGTTGCAGAAAGAAGAAAAGAGATGATGATCAAAAGAACAGCAGAGATCAAAAACAGGAAACTGGAAGCTGTTTTCATGGCTGACGAATTGAATCTTTGGCTGAGCAGAGAGAAGAAGAAGAAGAAGAGACTGAAATTTTAATGGAAGGAAGAAGATGATGAATGTGGGAAGTGCTTTTTAGAAGTGCTGGGAGCAGAAGACGTCTCATGATGATGGTGATGATTGGTTTTCTTCAGTGGGTTTTGGTTGGCGGCCATGGAGGAAGAAGAACACCCTCCCCCCATAACCTTAACTACTGGATCTTCTTCTTCTTCTGCCACTTTTTTTATTTATTTATTTTTTCTTTAGATTTTTTTTTTTATACAAAAATTATATATATATATATACAAACAACTGTATAATTTTTAGTAGTAAGTTAGTAAATTATTATTGTTCATTCAAATAGCAACATTTGATTTTCTTGACCGACTTATTCATTCAACCACATATATCTATTAGTTTTAGGTTAATTGATCCCTACGAGTTACGAATTAAGTAAGTATATAACGATGAATTTCGTTTATCTCAAATTACTTGTTGTTCGTGAATTTCATGCTTTATAATAAGAGATAAACAATTAGGTGAGGTTTAATATATTCTTAACGTTTAAGTTTTCTTTTAATTCTTTTAAGATAAGTAGGAATTATAGGAATTAATTAATTAATTATTT